GAGGTGGGCCACTCGCTTGGGTGGGCCGCTCGCTTGTGGAGTACGTTACACACCAGTATACGATAGACTATTAACACCACCCGCTCTAACGCTTCCAGCGTACGGATGCGCGAACGAGACCACCATCTTGATGTAGGAGACTCAAACCCATTTCTATTGTAGGAGCACTCTCAGCGCCGTTGATCGATCTTGCGTGTTAATCGAGGTTCTCGGAAAGAGCTCTGGCTCAAGATTATTGATCTAATTGATGAATTTGCAAATTTCACACGGCTTATTTCTCAATCCTTTCTAAAGCGTCCATAGTGACATGGAGAACCCCCTCTAGACTATTAAGGCAGCGGTGAGTTGTTTCCTTGCTTGTGTAGTATAACAAGCCGCCTCACGTGTTTTACAATAGGAGGCTTCTAGGTTCAAGTAGAGCGCGAGGCCCTCAGGGCGCGAAGGCAATCCATGTACGAAATGCAGCCGGTTATACTTCATTGTCGAGTATTGCGTAGAGTTGAATGGCAGGTATCTTTTGGTCCGTTCAATAGTACCGATGTGCCTGCTTACCTTCCTCCGTTAAATACCTACTCTCCCGGCCACCCTTATCCATCACTACAACCCCGCACTATCGCCGTGCTCTTCACCCAATCACTCTGAATCATTCGTTCGTGGGGGCTATAAACTACTGAGCGCTCGGGTCCTAGTCAGAATGTGGGGTAACATATCGAGATGGACTTACTTCGTAGTACATCAGCAATATCTGACCCGAACCCCAGAACAGTGCACTTCTCAAATTTCCATTAGTACTACTGCTTTCATTGTCAAAGCTCACTTGATAAAAGGAACTTTGTATCCATCCAGTTGGTACAGACGCAAGTCACGCAACTATCGTACGGTACAGCAATACGGAATGTCGGCCACCGTAACTCTTACAGCACCAACGCCAGCCTTTACTCCATTGAGTGATCTCAAAAAGGCCCATACACAAAATATCAAGGGTCAATCCAGCGCCAACAATGAAAGCGGAAAGTCTTCGTGGTCTTTAGACGAGAATGGCAGATTTACTGATTGCCCGGGTGGTTCGTTCGGGTCTACTCCTTAGTCTCCCTGATTTGAAAGTAGCTAATCCGTGCCTAGATATCAGCGAGTTCCTAATCCCCGACCACGCAGGCGCCAGTACCACGACGAACGCGCTCCGGTGGAGAGCAAAGAAAAGCTATGCCGCTATTGCTACGTTAGGGCTCGCATTGTTCTATGGCTCAGATAGCCCTCGGCTGCGAACAGTTGGAATAAGCCTGCTCTTTCCTGGTGCAGGATACCTCGCCGTTGGCGGGTTCTTTGGATATAGCGGCTTCATACTCACGGCGGCTTTTTTCCCCCTTTGCATGGTGGCTTGGTTCGGTGCCGGTGGATTGGCATTTCCACTTGCTGACTGGATTTTCTCTGGCCTCATTGCGACTTATTTTGCAGGCCCGCAGCTTGTCGAGTCCTCCGCCGCCACTACACTGGGTCTCGTTGGAGTTGTTTACACGTACTTAGCCACACGGTCGAGCTGTGAAGAAGTCGCTGAAGTTGAGAAAAAAGCCCGTCGAAATGATCTTCTCCTTGAAGCGAACAAGAGATGGGAACTTGAGACCACCACGGCTGGTCCTCCAGGATCTCGAGAGATGACCCTAGATCAGCTTCGCTTCATGCAATGGATCCTGGAGCTTGCGATGCAAGACCATGACGACTATACCAACATGACTAATATCGACCAATTTCAACCCGCCGCATTTCGCTATCAGCTTTACGAATTCGTGAACTGCCTTGGTACATACCAATGCCATTGTGCTCCCAATTTTCACGGATATTTGTCGGCCGCTCAGCGGAATGCGATTGAAAAGTCAATCACTCCTAAGGTGCTCGGGTTTTGGCGATGGGAAAGCCTTTGGGGAAAATTCACCACTGTAAGCCTCCCAATGCTCTTCTCGTCGAAAAAGACTGATGTCGGAAAGAACTATGATCCGGTCATCAAAGATAACATCATGGTAACGGGTTTTCTTGCTCTTGCCATCGGCATTTACCAGCGAAACACGGGAGATACACGCTATGCAAAGCAGAACGCGCTGGACATGAAAATCACCGACAAAAAGTCTTACAAGCATGACTATCACTCGTTATATAAAGCTCTCATCGATAACTGGTCCGAGAGCAAATTTGTTCTGTATCCGTGCGAGGTGAGTCTGGATACGTTCACTCAACATCGGTGTTCTAATTGAGATGTAGCCGAATTGGATATACAGCATGTGTAACTTGGAATCTTACGCTGGGGCTACAGTTTATGAAGACATATACCCGAATGAAAGGAGCCAGAAGTTCCTCCAAGACTTTTACCGGCATTTCGAAGAGGACTTCTTCACCCGGGGCGGCTCATGTATCCCAATCAAGAGCGCTATAACGGGCTTCACCATTCCCGGTCTATGTGGAAGCATGGCGGACACTTCCAATAGCCTGTTTTGCTCCCCTTTTATGCCGACGCTTGCGAAACGGATCTGGCTCATCACGAAAGAGGAAAACGTACGTTTCGATAAAGACGGAAAGATTGATATCATCAACCTCAAGGGCGCCGACGTCATCGACGGCGGAAACTACGAGAAGAACTCCCGGGGCCCTCTAGGTGTGTTTGCGATTACAGCCGCGGAGTGGGGCGATAAGAAGGTGTCGGAAGCTTGCTTGAAGAGGATTGATGAAGAGTTCGCACCGGTAGAAGTCAATCCCAAGACGGGTTCTAAGAGAAATAAAGGAATGGGAACTACCACATCGGGCATGTTGACGAGAGCTCGATTCATGGACGGAGGCGACTGGGCGACTCTGGTCAGACATGGGCCAGCGAAAACCGCTCTCGCTGGTCCTGTGCTTGATTCGGCACCATACCCGCAAGTATTGGTTGCGAAAGCATTCTCGCACACTTCGAAGGTAGCTCTTTCATCGTTCAACCCAAGACCATGGAACTGACGGACATCTAGGATCTAGAGCTTGTTCTCTATAACGGCCAGGAAGAAGGCATTTTCCAGCTTGGGCTGACGAAGTTGCAGCCCGGCGTCACTTACACTGGACTGCCAGGACGAGCCTTTACCGCTGATGGCACCGGGAACGCTGAGATATCGGTCGCGCTCCATGGCCGTACACGCATCCACTTACAGCCCACTGCCAAGTGATGGGACGATCCGCGGGAGGTAGAATGCGGGGAATGATTTTTATTGACGGCTTGCTGCGCCGAGGACTATCTTTGGTGTATAGTTGTTGTATGTACAAATGCTGATGACACTCCTTGTGCTAGTCTCAACATGACTAGTTCGCACCCTTGAATTGACTCCGTGTGAGGCTTGCATGACTCAGGCCGTTCACCCCGCAAATACCCCAGTGGCATCCACAACTTCCCCACACTCCGGAACAGACTGAGGACCTGACCTTCAAACGAGGACATGGGCTGTACCCAGCCAAGTAAAATCAGTAGCCCATGTTCTGGCGCTCCCGCGGCCCCAATGTTTCGCACTTACCTTTCCCACACCTGTAGTAAACCTACACAGTCGAACTTGCCGCCATGACTTCTGGACATGCTGCAGCACATTCTGCAAAGCGCGCTCGAACTCGAAAGGCAGCTCCGGATTTTAATGTGGAGAACACCCCTATCTGGGACGAGGATGCAAAGGAAAAGGCGAAACAGCAGGACCGCATCAATAGGCGTCGTACCCAGAATCGCATATCGCAGCAGTGCGTTCGAGAGAAAGCCCAAGCACATGCGAAACAGTTGGAGGTCTTGTCCGAGATGGTCAGGCCGATCATGCAGACTGCTGGCTCATCAGATGGAGCCTCGCAGACGGCATTGATCCAGAATCAAATGGCTCTTATTGAAGAGAATAAAGAGCTCCGGGAAGCACTCCTGCAGATGCGAAAGAAGCTTCTATCTTTGAGTTCTGCCGCCTCTGCCGTAGCTGGTGAGGCACACCATGCACAATGATAAAGACATTAAAACTGAAAACTGCAGACCATCCTGTGTTCGGCCAACTTTTGCAGAAGGGGAGCTCCTTAAAAAGGCACCGTAGCTGTCGACCTAACGATAGCGAGCTAGATAAGAAAGACCAGTCGAAGGGGGACGAGGAGAGTGACTCTCGCAGTAACTCTGCTGCACGGAAAACAGCTGAATCGTCTATATCCGTCCCTGGCGATCATATAACGGGAGCGGCAGACGATCAAATCGTACCGCTAAATATGCCTTGGACAGAAGGCGATTCTCCTACATTGCAAATGGAAGATATCGGTCCTCCGGCCAAAACATGTGGGCATCTGAACGGGACGCACTTCGACATGCCAGATCAACTCTGTGATCCAGCAATACCGCAGCTCTTCGAACCCGACTTCTCCGACCTAATCGCATCCGCAGAACATTCCGTGCTCAGCTCACAGGATCTCACCATTACAAATCTCCCGTGGATACATCCCCTCCAATTGCCTCCTATGGCATCAGTACCATTCCCGGTTGAAGACGTGGGGCTTCGAAGCAACTTGTTTCCCAATTCAGTATCTGCTGAGATAATACAACTAGCTCAACATATCGAAGAAGCGAGCATATCTTATCTGAGGAAAACAGTGGCATCACAGTCGGAGCGCAGTCTAGAGCACGGGTTCGGGAACGCTAACTCATACGAAGATCACCGGGCCTTAGGCGTCTGCCCAACTCTCTCATCGGAGATCTCAAAGGTTGGAGTATACCTGATGGTAAGGATAGGGGAACAATCACCATATGTCTATGGTACTGGGGCAAATGAAGTGATGGAGAAAGTGTTTCGTTGGCGTTGCACTCCTTCTTTACAGAATAGAAGAGCTATCCCGGAGCCCTTCCGCCCTACGACACTTCAAACAATGAGTATGAACCATCCGAATATCATCGATTTTATAAATTGGGGCTGTATAAGAGATCAGGTAAGCTTTGCCTCCTTCGCCCGTCCCGAAGGCATTGCAGATTAACTTTCCTAGTTGATCTATAAGCACGGAACCTACGACATGGAGCAAATGTTCACCGATCTTTTGTTGAACACCGTCATCGAGATCCCGCAGTTCCAAGTCTCCATCAATATCTTGGACACATTCATCCAAATAGTCTTCAGTACTACAGCAGCTGCATCTTTCAGTGGCAAAGACCAAGACAGTCACGGGATGTCTCCCAGCTTCAACACTACCGCGACGCCTCCGACCATCCGACTCGATGAGCTCCCACGTCGGTGCCGCGAGCACATTATCAATATTGTTCGAGAGATGCCTACACACACGATCCCGAAACTCAAGCTGAAATCCTTGCCCTTGACACAGAATCGCCTGCAGAGGCACCAGTTAGCTTCCAAATGGGGCCTGTATCAGCTGGTTAGTTGGAAAGTCAGTAAGGAATTTGCAATGGTACATCCGGAAATTGATTGCTCGTCCGGTAAGTAGCATTTTAGCGGTTTCTCCTCTCTGGCACGCTGGGCATGAGAAAAGTGGCACAGTCATCAAGTGCTCTGCTCGTATGTACACCTGTCTGCCACTGCATGAAGTGCTTCAACAAGTTTCCACATAGCCCAAGGTGAAGAGCTTCTATCTCGTTCAGATTCCCGAAACGCATTGAAGCAACTCAAGCGGTGGCAGATAGATGTACACGAGACAGCTTATTCTAGAATCAGAGTGCCACCTTTTCCATGCCCCGCGTGTCTGGCTAGCTGAACCACCTTGAACGGTTTCAAGCGAGCAAGCGGGCGAAAGCCTTTTCAAGAGGCAATGATATCGAAGTCCTCGCTAATAACGTCTCAGTCATGTCTCGATATCCGATGTGCAGCTCAACGTTGATTCCTGAACTATAGAACCTAGCCTGAATACTGTGGAAACATGACGGGAGGGCGATGTCGCTCAAGGAGGCCTGCGTGGCAATTCTTCTTGCGTAGCTTTCATTCAACCAGCTGGAATAAGCGGGTAAAGATATTGGATTGAGTCGGTATTATAGATGGGCGGTGATTGGACCGCCCACTTGAACACTGGCGTAGACTCAGAATTTGTTCGCCGATTTGGTTCTCTTCACTTGCGCAGAAACCTTCATGATAATTCTATGCCCCGGCGTGAACTCAAACGGAAGTCTGTGAAGAAGTTGGTGTTTTAGGACCGCCTGGCTTGATGAGAAGCTGCCCGGGATAGATATAGACACATACAATTATGCAGTTAATACAGTTATTACTCCTATCAAAGTTATCAATGATGTTACAGGTGTCTTGAGCTCGAGCTTAGTTAGACTCCCAAGTCTCACCTTGCATCTGACGTGTGAGGCCCTTCATCCTACGAAGGTGTCGCCTGCTACTAGGCGGCAGTCATTAAGGTCACGAGTCACAATAAGCTATACATAAAAGACGCTTATCAGCAAAGGTACAGACACTTCCCCTTGTCGGGTTCGAGGATTTATCTTTGGGCCTTTCCGAATATCCAAACGCCACCAAATGCTTCAAACCAGGGTATCATTCAAAACACGTCGTCCATTTTTGCGTCCACTCTCTCGCCGCCAACTGCTGCTGCTGCAGTAGTGGCCATCGATGGGGTCGAGCCAAGGTCTCTGCCCGAAACCTCGTCTTGAATAAAGACACCGAATCCGGAGAACGCATCACACAATGCTCTCGCGCAATAGTCGTTGATGTCATAGCCCCCAGCAGAATAACGAGGGTCCGTTCGAGCGTTACTTAGGTAGTCCCAGTCGTAGAAATCCTGCTGCGAGAAGTATTCCTTCTCTGCCGACCAGCCTCCGTACGGATCATACGGCTTTTCTGGAGGGGGCGCAACCCGCTTCTTCAGGCCCTTGAACAGAAACGCACTGCTAGCGTCACCGTTCTCTGTCCCCGAGGAGAAGACATCGCCGTCTCGTTTCTTGTCCAGTGCTACTCTCTGGGCCGAGCTCTTCTTCAGCTCCGCTCTCCTGCCTTCTCGCGCAATGCTCGCTGCATCACCCTTCGTTGTGGCGAGCTTGTTGATGATGCCTTTCCTAGCATCAGACTTTTCCTGGCGTTCAAGCTCGTCCTCTCGTCGTGCGTCGGCCCTTCTCAAACGGGTCAACTCATGATCTTCTTCTTCCCGCGCCTTGCGTGAAATGGCCTCTTGAGCAGCGTTGGATTGATTCCGTGTGATTTGCCTCCGGTTCTCTTCCTTGTAAGCGTCCATTTTCCTCCGTGTGTCCTCGACATCGATGTCGTTGATGAGGTTCCATGTGACATTTTCAACTTGTTCTAGATAGTCGTTGTAATTCTGTAGAGTTTCGAAATCGTCTTCCTCCCGGTTGAAGCTAGCCAACAGTTTAGCAGATGATGATACAGAAGGCTGGATTACCTACACACTCGCCACTTCTCGTCTTATGTCCACCTCCCGCTCGACTTTGATATCCTCAAATGTCTGCGTCCTGAACCTCGCTTTGCGGAGCGTTCTTTTGCACCCAGCAATAGGACAGGCTGCTGGACCTTGGGAGAACCTGCGATCCACGCACGATTCGCACATCTTGTGGTAACATTCCGGGTTCACGAGAAAGCGCATGTCAGGGTTCAGATAGCGCGCCGACTTGCAGACCGGGCACATGTCTGCAGACGCGTTAGCAGATGCGGCAGACACGTGCAGCTGCAGCTGGGAGAGTTGGGCGAGCAGCTCACCGCCATCCTCTTGGGCGCGCTTCGACGGGGCCGCGCCGCTGCGCTGTGCGGCCCGTGACATGTTTGCGGAGTATTCTACGAGGTCGTGGTGGAGGAGTGACGGTGAAGTATGAAGGCGGCAAAGGATAGAGGGATGTCTTGAACAAAGTGAAGGAGATTGTTCGGGCTTAAGATTGATAATCAGACTAAACCCGAGCTGGTTCCGCGCGGCGAATCTGGCGGCGGCCGACGCTCCTGCAAGAACCTCAGCTTTCTTCTTTCCACTCAGTCTGAACATCTCAAGCCCACCATGGAGGGCACGCAGCGAGACCCCTTGGCCGACCTCGAGCGGCACCGCTTACGACTAGAAGAGACGGTTGCGAATCTCCGTAAATCTCTGCATCACTGGCACACATGGGAGTTCGAATACGAAGCGCTGAAAGAAGAAATCCAGCGTTTCAAAGGCCAGCCAAGCACCGAGGACATGGTACGCAACGTTGCTGGTCCCTCGGCTTGTATAGCAGCTGACATTGCGCAGGTAAAGATCGGATCTGCCTTTGGAGGAGACCTAGTTAATGAGAAGGGTATGCGAACCTACTCACTTCGTTGTCAACCATTCACTGACATCCTGCAGAAATAAAAGAGCTCATAGGGTACGGCAAGCCGGTAGAACGGGACGGTGCCCAAGTAGTGAATATGATCTCAAGACGGCTAGACTGTGAGCAAGCCCAGGCGTCGCAACTCGGACTATGCTCACAAGGCTAGATGTTCAACAGAATGCCCAAACCGTACAGAAACAACTCGATGGGGCGGAGCGGAAGCTTGAAGCCGCGCTAGTCCTGCTAGAACCCGATCTCGCTGACGAGGAAGGGCTGCCTTTGACAGACATCCATGAAGAGCTGGACGAAGAAGGCAACGTGATCTGTGGGTAGCATATATCCTGGCCACTGATGATGTCCTCTAACAGTGTTATGTAGCAAGCACGCTATTGCATCCGAGCAAAACAGCTCCTGATGTCATGGACACCTTGCGAAAGGCTGGAGCGATCAAGGCAGAGGATACTCTGAACCCGAGCTCCTCTGTGCCACCGGAACCTTCAAACCCGGGAAGCTCACAAAAGCTAGGAGGCTCTATCTCTGAACCCCACAACGATCAGGATAACAAAACCGACAGGACTTTCCCCAAAGAAAGTGCTGACTCCCCTAAGCCAATCTTGTCTAATGCTGATCGAAAGCCATCGTCAGCCAAGAAGTCTGTCGCTTTCGCACAAGACACAGCCCCGCGCGCGTCTTCGTCTAACGAAACTTCTGGAACGGTGCACTCTGGATTGGAGGATGACTTAGCTGCCTTCAATTTCAATCGAGGTGAGAAGGTGATTGAGCTCGACGAGAACGACAAGGAAGTCGCGTCATATCCCATCATTCCCATGACCGAGTCACCTGAGGATGCGGCATTACGACGAGAAATGTTGCAGTATGGTCTTGCAGAGGTCAATTCTGTGGTTGCAGAGATTGACTTGGAAGAGGGGGATGAAGAGTTCTCAGACCTCGATGACGACTACGATGGCGAATATCCGGAGACTGACGACGACGAAGAAGAAGACGAGTATGGCCGTACCGCGCATGCCGTGATTACCGATGATTACAGAAAGGAAATGCTCGAACTCGAGAAAAAGCTGAATGCTCGCATGCTGGAGAGCATTGGCCCGGAATCGGAAGAGACAGCTGTCCCAGGATCAGTAGAAGATGTTCGCAGGCTCGTAGTGCAGCGAGAGGAACCTGAGAAAAAGGTGGTGCCTACATCCACATCAGGCGGAAGAAAGAAAGGGGTGAGGTTTGCTGAGGAACTGGATGTTTCACCTGCGCCCGCGCAAGCGGTCCCCGACAAGCAACAAACCGCACGTCCTTTGGTAGACAGAGCTCCTTTGGCCGATGCGATCATCGAACGGAAACAACCATACAGCGACCATGCTTCAACATCTTCAATCGAAGCGTCAAAGCCTGTCAAAGTGTCACGCTTCAAAATCTCGCGCTCTGGTGCGAGCGTGACCCACTCCACAGAACATATCAGTACAGGCACGGGCACGCCTGCTTCAGATGCCACCCAGTCATTCAATGACAGTGGAGAGGCGTCTGGAGCAACTCTAGCTAATCGAGTGGTGGAGCGAAACGTCGTGGAAGATGACATCGTACCTCCGAATGAGGACGGTCTCGATCCGGCACTTCTGGCTCAGGAAGTCGTTATCGAATATAACAAAAAGCGCAACCGTATGATTCAAGATCAAGGGGGCTTCACGCCCTCAGCAGAGGACATTGAAAGCCCTCTAGTGGAAGAGATAGACGGTAAAGATAAGAAGGTGAGTAGGTTCAAAGCCTCTCGCCTGAAGTCTGGAGGCACATAGTGCGATCAATCCCTTCGAAAACTATTCATTCCATATTCATAGTTGCTGAAGCATACGTGCGACTGGAGGTTCATTCTTCTATCGAATCCGGAACAGTCCAAGGGTTATACCCTCGTGAGAGGTATTCTGAATATACCGCCCCACATGAGACGCGTTCCTAGAGCAAAGTGAGGTCTCTCTGACGTGGCATCTTAGCCTTCAGTATTTGTCATGATTTCGTTTCAGCCTCTACATATCTAGACTCGAGCAATACTGCTCTGGAGCCTAGATATCCCGTTCACCATTTTTATGGCCTCGGGGATTTACCAGGTAGCCAGTAGCTTACTTGGACAAAATCAATAGATTAGTCAATGATGCCGTGCAATATAACTGTTTGCGCCTCTCACGTGTCTTCAAACTAGAAGCCAATGATGAAGCTCCTCTCACCATTTCACCCGTGCAAAAGTTGCCCCACACCGTCTGAATATTTTTGGTGGGGGTTTCGGCTTCGCCAAGAACATGCACCTCTACCTACGCCATCAAGCCAAATTCTCCATGCCACAGCTTCTCCTGTACCCGCACGAACCGAAAGCGCTCTACCCAAAGGCATCTGCGCCGGCATGCCGACCGTGCCAGAGTCGCCGCCAGATGCCGCGAACACGGCGAAGCCCTTCGTCGTCCACCTCCGCCTAGTTCTAGCACCATGGACGGTTCATTTCAAGACTCCCCACTACATACAAGACAGGACCATGGTCATGCTCGAAGGGATCGCGAAGAAGACGTTGGAAGAAACCCGGAGGAGCTCAGAAGTCCGGTCAGTCTATTTAGAAGAAGCCCCCCCAGCCAAGGATCTAACATCCTCCAGTGAAGAAATTGGTACTGAGCCGCCCTTCTGGAAAGACCTTGGAGACCTACTCGAAGCCGCGATTCCGTCTCTCGAACAACGATGCTTCGCTGCCCCAGATCCACAAACACCGGAATACGAAGGCCTATCGGGGCCGCTCATTGCCTCCAACTCGAATACCTTACTCAAGGACCTGGAAAGACTCAATAGCATGGTTTCGATCGCCCGGAACGTCCTCACCGCTGGAGATAAATCGCAAAACCTGGCTGCAAAGTCACAGTTTGGTCAGGAAGTGTTCAAGTTTATCAGCGTGTGCGTGAAGGTAACAGCTAGAGGATATGACGGGGAAGCTGGTTCACAAGACGAGGACAAATGGCAGTCGGTCATTAACTCCTGTATGTGGCCTATCACTCCCATACTTTCCATTTCTGACATTTGTGCCATAAACAGTCAAAAAGCTGCTGATTACCTGCCTTCAATTCCTCAACAACCTCGTGGCCCGGAACGAGCGCCGAAAGCTGATGCTATGGGTAGAGCTATTCGACAACTCCACAGACAGCGTGCTTCCTTCCAGTCATGGCGACCTCAGGACAAAATTAGATTTGTGGCCCAGGCTCCCGGATGATCCTAGTCTATCGTTGAAGAAGTCGTTGCATGGACACGCGGAAGCCCCGAGCCCAAATTGGCCAGACATCCCATTAAAATCGTCCCAGCAGCCTGCATCTTCGCCCTTCCTGCTCTATATTGGAAAGACAGGTATGGAGGTAAAGCGGGATCTCGTGCAAAAGGGTGAAAAGGCAAGTGCGACAGATATCGCTGCCGAGTGCAAGAAAAGGTGGCAGTCTATGTCTGACGAAGAGAAGAATGTAAGCACTTCAATCCCCTTCCATTCATATCCGGTGACACGAGCTGATCTCACCAGAAATGGAACATCCTTTACACCGACATCATTGCTAAGTACCGCGACGAGCTGACCTCATCGAGTGCGTATAAAACGGTCGTTGATCAGCACGCCAAAAACGAAGAAAACGTGCAAGCCCTCGCTCGCAGCATCAATCAACTTCAGATTGAGGTTGATCGGATGCGGAAATCTGTCATTGCCTCATCTAAAGCAGCGTCCGAGGCGGAAAATCGGTCACAGCTAGCCATCGACGATGATGGTGAAGCGCTGCCGCCGTCTCCACTAAAAGAAATCCATCCCTACATTCCAATATCCGCCGAAATGCCCGATGCTCCGCCCGCTGGCGAAGCTGATTTCCGCATGACCTATCCCGCATCGTACGGTGCAGAAATACTCCAACAAGGAAAGGACGATCTCATGAAACGCCTCGAAACATACTCAGAACGACCATCCGTGGCCCAGGCCAGTAACTTGGCGTCTCCATCGTCTCCTCCAGTATTTCCATCTTCGCCTCCTACGACTCATCCACCTGCAGAGGGCGTTGATGATGTCAGTGAAGACGAGGATAGTGAAGACGACTATGATGCAGTCCCTGGCGACGACGGCCGTGGTCTGCTGACAGATGTCCCCTTGATCCTTGGCCCTACCGAGATTGAGGTTTTGCCAATGATAATCATGTCCGGCATCGTAACCCCTGGAGAAGGCACGGTCGGATATGGCTCTACGCCGGATGAGATCATTGCTATCAGGAACATGCATACTGTGCGGTGTCATTTGCTCCTCGCCCAAGATAACGGGCGAAATCTGCTTCGGGAACTTTTAATCTTTGTCGCCGCCTGGGATCTGCGAGAGGAAGAACTCTACTTCAAGTTCATGGTGAAGATAATGGAAGCCATACTTACGAACGGACTGATGCCGTTCAGCTACCACGCTTTCAGAGAGTACGTTCTATGGGTTTTGTTTACAAGTCTAGCATATACTAACTAAATTCAAGGAGCAAGGACATAATTTCTCCCGCCCAAGCTGTCATCATGAAGCTACTCACGAATATTTTCCGAGCACGGCAGTCTGTCCAAATGACACGAAGCATCTACAAAGAAACAGACATAGACGTGGAGAAAGAGGGTCCAGATACCTATCCCATGCGCGTAGATGTGCACATGGTCAACTTCCTGTTAACCGAGTTCCGCCGTCATATTATCCCTCAAACCTGCGCCTTGATCTTTTTACAGGGTCAAATACGGGCGGGTTTTGCGCACCCAGAGGATTTCCCACTCAACCTTTGGGACATGGAGAGGATGTATGAGGGCGTCTACCAATACCTGGAGTTTTTCGCGATATTGACGGAGCACGAAGTATGGAAGAAGATGATGGCCGAGTGGGAAATCACGAGCGAACTAGTCACTCTGCTGAAAGAACTCGATGCTGCTATTCCGAAGGGCCAACTCTCCGTTGCGCCTCTAGCTTCAACGGCTAGGACCAATCCTAGACCAAGTTCTGACCCTGGCCATATTCCACCCGCCTCCGATGCTGTTCCAGTTGCAGTGGAGCGACCATACGACATCGCTGGTGCATCAGGCTCAACAAATCCTGTGGCACCTGATACATATGCTCCCGAGCCGCGACCATACATTGATGAAGCGCAGGATGAGCCATCGGACTTTGAGTGGCGCAATCTCAAGAAGCTAGCAGTGCTTGTTCTCTCATCGCTCGTTTGGAAATCCCGTAAGGTGCAGGATCAAGTACGACCCCTTGGAGGTATAGAGGCCATTCTCAACTGTTGTACGTTTGATGAGCACAATCCTTATATCAGGGAGCACGCAATCATGTGCCTGCGTTTTTTGTTGGAGGGCAATCGAGAAAACCAAGAGCTCATCCGCGAATTAGAAGCCAAGGGGGTGGTCCCCAATGAAGTCCTTGACCAGCACGGTTACGAGACTTACATGGACTCTAAGGGCCAGGTCTTGCTTCGAAGGAAGGAGGCTTTGAAGCCAGGATCGGGTTCGGGGTCAAGTTCAGGACCCGCAGCGACGAAGCAACAGGCGATTAAACCAAAAGATCCGAAGGATTTGGAGATCCTTGTGCAACAAGTCATGAGAGACCTACCGACAAGAGTGCAGGGCGCGAAATTTGACGCCGAAAAAGCTGCTGCTCTTGCGAAACTCGACAAAACCTTTGATGGACGAGGTGGTCGAAGTAGCTGAACACAAAGACGGGGACGGCTTTTGCTGTCCGCTACTAGAATTTGTCTGAACGACGGCACGGTCGACAATCGCCGCGCCAAAATGCGCCGTCAAAGTCGTATTAAGTATGAGGCATCAGGCCCCATGGTACACCGACTGATGCCAAATCAAGAGACGTAAGAAGTCAATGCAGAATTACATGCATTAGCACTATCCCACCCGACTATCGCGCGAGACAACCTTTCCACCACTAGAAGGCCTATCTTAAGTCCTAATAAGCCCGAACATGTCTCCCTCCGACGTGTTATATCAGCGGCAAGCTGCATATATCGGCACAACTCCTCGACTACTTCGAAAAGCTGGAAAATCAGACTTCGAGAGGCGAGATGCAAGAAGGATCAGAACACTTTGGTGGAGATCTTGGAGATAGTTCACGAAATATAAAATATATCAGAAAGTATTCGTGGCTACACGTGGTGATACACGCTATAACTCCGACTTCCAAATTCTAGGGTGAACATCCCAATATCAAATGCGTCCAAACGTGAAGCGATTTTCCCCTTTGCCTTGCTTCCCCAAATGTTCCCTGGCGAGGTGTGCGTAGGTCGCAAAATCATGGTACTCTCGCACCACGATATCCAGTGTCGTACTGGAATTGTTCCTCCGGTACACTGTATCCGCGGTTGGATGAATTTGTAGGGTCATCGTTGTAGGGTCGCTGTGTTTGAAGTGGGACTGAATCAAGTCCGAGGACGTGGTCTGGGGCATCAAAAGCCTCCTTGTGGTCCACGTTTTGCATTTGATTATACTTGCCGCGGGAGGTGGCGCGTCGGAAGACATATATGTCCAGGCATGCGGCTGAGAGGGTGGAAACGCTTTGGGACGGTAATCGTTAGCTGTCTGCGAAGATGTAGCTTTGGAGGAGAACTTACAAGCCAAGCAATGTGAAGGAGAAGAGCGCCTTGTAGATTCTGCAAATCATAATGCCGGTTTCGTCCTCCCAGTTGGATTTATTGCACACATGGGACAGGGTGCCGCTGCTCCACCAAGCCAGGAGGGCGAACCCAACGGACCACAGAATGAGAAGGGCGCCATTGAGACAGACGTTCAAGCGAGGGTTTAATCCGCAGCAACAGTGGAGCACTATCGTTGTCGACAAGGCAAGTATTGTTAATAGCGAGACTGCGAGGAGCTGTAATGTGGTGTCAGTACAACGATACGTGCTGAATGGCGCGTACCTAGGGTTTTCGACTTACCAGAATGAAGGTCCACGGTAGACGGTAGTGATCATGTGTGAGATGCCAGAGGAAGTAGAACATGATACCCGCGACTACCATGGAAGACACCAGCTGCGCGCTTCGCAGAAGATGGAATGGTATGAAGGGGTAATGGGTCGGCTTGACTTTGTCTTTGCGCGCCATGGCTGTTGCGTGGGATGCGGGTTCTAGCACGAAATGCACAAAAGATATTGGTATTAATGCGAATGAAAAGGCGCGGTAGCGTCGCAGACTCGTGGTAGAAAAAGGAGAGACGTGGTGGAGTGAAGCTGTGTAGCCTGAGATGGGCGCTTGTCGAAGTTCAGCTGGCTTCAGCCCTGGTCGCACGTGAAACTTGACTGGATAGGCAGACTACGAGCATAATAACTACAATATCAAAATTAGGACCTATCCCTTGGAGGTTCTGTACAAAGGTAACCTTTTTGCTAGTAGCTCTTGCCTAGAACGATTTATCCTATGCCCCGGATTACCCCCGAAATCAACGAGAGGCGCGATCATCATGCCGCCTTTCAGTCCTCCCCTCTCTCGTCCATCCGTCCAATCAGGTCTTGCTGGTCTGCTCTTTGATCAGTCATCTCCAGACCTCACCCTCTGCACCAGTCTGCCGACGGCGGCAGCATCGGCATCGCGTCAGCTTTGATGGTGTATATGGTACGCTATGCCATCGAACGGTAAGCTGCTGAATAATGGACGGCTACGCAAAGGCATAAGAACCGCAAATGCGAAGAACGGCTATCTGTTGGATAATCCGCCATAGCTCATACACATCATGAGTTTTTCAATGGGACTCCCTTGGTCGTCTGGCGAGGAACGGATGCATCAACTTTTACATGTTCCCGACCAAGACAACCCGACATCTTCCTTGTTGACACCTCAGGCATCGTTCCTACTTCAAAGAGCCCCTCTGCTTGCAGTTGGCACTGTAGATGACCATGGACGGCCATGGGCTACCATTTGGGGTGGTGAGCCCGGCTTCTCGCAATCGTTGGGCTCGTCCATTATGGGCACGCGGACAATTGTCGACAGGAAAAACGATCCCGTGGTTCAGATTCTCATCGGAGACCGGGACGATGGGGAGATCGTGAAGAGCGAGGGGCCTGGGAGGATGGTAGCGGGCTTGACAATTGACCTAGTGACCCGAAAGCGAGTTAAAATCTACGGACGAATGGTCGCCGCTGCTCTGGACGCTATGGAAAAGAGTGACGATGATCAGGGCGATGCTGACAACTCCACTTCCGGACAGATTCAATTGGTGGTGAGGATTGAGCAGAGTCTAGGTAAGTTTTCCTGATTCAGTAAAACTCTCAGTGCTGACAGAGGCCCGTGCAGGGAACTGCCCCAAATATTTGAATAAGAAAGACATACGACCGTCTCCTGTAGCATCGGAACTTCTATCACGATCTGCCAATTTACCCATACACGCAATGAAACTTCTGCAAAAATCAGACCTCTTCTTCATTTCCAGTGCCAACGCTGATTACGACATGGACACCAATCACAGAGGAGGTCCCCCCGGATTTGTTCGAGTGCTGCGCAACGACGACGGTGGTGCAGAGCTGGTGTATCCTGAGTATAGTGGCAACAGACTGTATCAGACACTCGGCAACTTGCTAACCAATCCGGTAGCGGGAGTTGTCTTTCCGGATTTCGATTCTGGCGCCGTCTTGTACGTGACTGGGACCACTGAAGTAGTTGTAGGCTCCGCTGCCGCCGAATTGCTCCCTCGGTCGAATTTAGTCGTAAAGATTAAGATCGTAGAAGCCCTTTACGTCCAGAAAGGGCTTCCCTTCCGTGGGACTACTGGAGACTTCTCGCCATACAACCCTAACGTACGATTACTCGCGAAAGAGAGCAGCATCAACGCGGGCCTAAAACAAACTGCTACCAATAGAGCGACGCTTGTGAAGAAGACGCAGATTACGGCTGATATCTACCGGTTTCGATTTACTACGACAAGACCGGAGCCTTACCGCGCCGGCCAATGGGTTGCGTTGGACTTCTCCGAAGAGCTAGACATTGGATACAGTCACATGCGAGACGATGACCCGCAAAGCTTAAACGACGATTTCATCCGGACGTTTACTATATCCTCTCATCCTGGCAATCTACCTTCGAGCGAGTTTGAGATTACTATCAGATCAGTTGGTCGTGTGACCGCGTTTCTCTGTCGCCAGAACGAACGATCGGGCCTGGAAATTCCACTACGGGGGATAGGAGGCGATTTTGCTGTCAAAGAGGATAGCAATAGTCTCATTCCATTCATTGCTGGAGGTATTGGGATCACGCCTCTGCTGGCTCAGCTTCCAGATCTACCTCTTGATCGGCTTCGACTGTTTTGGTCCTTACGTGCTGGTGATCTAACACTGGCGTTGGACGCACTTGAAACTTATCCTAGGCTCCATTCCCAGACAACCTTATTCGTGACGGGATCAATAAATCAAGGGATGGAAGAGAAATTGACGTCAATCGGCGCCAAGCTTGAAAAGAGAAGAATACTCGCCGAGGATTTGAGGACAGTTGATGCTGAAACTTGGTACTTTTGCACGGGATCTGTACTGCGGAAGGCATTGCTGGGATGGCTGAAAGGTCGGACGCCTGTATTTGAGGATTTCAACTTTTAGTAACCTGTAGTCGCTATAATACCAATAATTGCAGGGGAGGGATAATCATACACCCCCTAATCACTCCACGTACACCCCCTTTTCACTCCATGTACACCCCTTCCCCTAGTCACTTCACCACCTTATGATTAGCTCGGAGCACCGCGGGGCTTCCTCCGGTAATTCACGTTTACGTCTCTCTGCACGTACGTGAGGCTATACATAAGGCTACGTAAATGGGCATGGCTATACAGCCTCTCCGTTTTACGGCGCATCCTTTCTGATTCGCATAGCCTCACGTACGGCCTTATGTACGGCCTCACATACGGCTATATAGCCTTTCCGAATTGTATAGCTATGCGCGCAGCCTTTCTAATTTGTGCAGCTGTATATACAGCCGTACGTGAATCCATAGGTGAGTTATACAAATCGGAAAGGATGCGCCGTAAAACGGAGGGGCTGTCTAGCCATGCCCATTCACGTAGCCGTATGTATAGCTTCACGTACGAGCTCACGTACGGCCTTATATACAACATCACGTGCAGAGAGAGACGCAAACGTGAATGCCCGGAGGAGACTCCGCGCTGATCCAAGCCAATTAGAAGGTGGTGAAGTGACTAGGGGGTAGGGGGATATGATTATCCCTCCCCTGATTGTAAACATCTTTCAATTTTCCTGACAGAAGGCTCGGTAATTTGTGTAAAGTAGAAGCAGATTGTAAGGTTTATTAATAGCATAAGCGTTATATCCTTACGCATAATGCTCTTAACACTACTAAACTATACGCGTTTAAGCAAGATATAAGAAACGTTAGATAACGTTATAGAAGTGTTAGAGGACGATTTATAAGCGCTTTATAGTGCTGTATATATGTATATATACAAGTCCGCTGCTGTTAATCTATAATAGAATATAAACAATATAATTCCTTTCTATCTATCTATCTTTCTATCTATCTATCTTTCTATCTATACATCGACTCTATACCTTTAACACAGCTATTGCAGTTTAACTGCATTAAAGCAACCTCTGTAAATTGCGAAGATAATATATATTAGGGGTGCCCTAAATAGAGGTTTTAGGATAATAATTAGCTTTTATTATATAAGTAATTTAATATACTATAAAAGTCTTAAGGCACACTAAATCTCTACTCTATTAGCATGCAGGTAAGGCTATATAGCAGTTAATATATATAGTTCTTAACTGTAAGTTATATATATAATTCTAAAAAATATTTATATTTTAATATTATAAGCTTACTTTATTATAAAAGAGAATATAGCCTTTAAAAACACAATGCAATCGACCTCGCAGCCGCTTGGAATTACGGCCTAAGGCAAGCCCCTAGGGCTACTTAAGGCCCTACAAGCTATGCAACGAACTCTTAGAGCTCCGCAAGCAGCGGCGGCGGCGTTGCAGTCGATTTATGCGTTGCGACCCCTAATCCGCAGCACCTGCAGCAATAACAGCATTACCTATATTAATAACAACAACCTTAACCCTAAAACTAAACCAAATACAACAACCCGAAGCCTACCGGAAACGCCTACTAAAGCGTCTAAAGCACCCTTAATAAAGCGCGATAACTATAGGCCAGCCTATAGAATAAGCTACCTTAACCTGCAGATATAGATAGACTATATTATATATTCTAGGAATTTGTCGGACGCGTAATATTTAACTTTATAGGCGTATTGGCCGAACTTTAATAAACGCTATAGGTATAATTAATAAAGAAGATAGAGAAAATAGAAAAGGAAGTACGCGCACTGTTAACGCAGGGCAAAATATACGCTGTAGCGGTAGCAGGAACAACACTAGCTACTATACTAAATAGATAGATAGGGCAGTAAAATAGAGGGATTAGGCAGTAAAATAGAGGGATTAGGCAGTAAAATAGAGGGATTAGGCAGTAAAATAGAAAGGCTACAGGAAATAAAACACTAATAGCACAGCCTATAGAGGTCTATAAGATTACTATCTATATTAAAAATAATAATAAATAAGCCACTACTAAAGATAATATAAACGCAACTATTACTAGTAAGCTTTAGGCAGGCGGCCCTTTAGATATAACCTTGATATATAGCGTAAAAAAGCTCTAGAGTAGGAATATAACAGCGTATATAGCTAATAAAGCTATAAAAAAACGCCTATTAAAAAAGAGGGAGTAGGTATAGGTGCTAGCTAAGTCGGCGCATATATAACTCCCTGCTATACTAATTAAGGTGCACAGAGTGCCTAAGGATATAGTTCTAGACAGCCTAGGGCTAAAAGAGGCTATTATTATAGCTAATATATCTATTAACCCGGGCCTTATTATAGAAAGAATTATATAGAAGAATAAAAAGGGTATCTAAGCAGTATAGGATAACCCTAACTACTGCGCTAGCTCGGCTATTATTAGTATGCGTATAAAAGAGATAGCAGATACTATAATAGTAAAAGAGCTTATTATAAACGGCCGGCTGCTAATAGTATTAAGGTATAAGGCAAGCTTTATTACTATATAGTGCCTTAAATACTAGGGCTATAGCTATATAGCTAAGTACTATAAAAAGAATATCTAATATATAAACTGCGCAGGAGAATATAATACTAGAAAATATAATAATCCGGGTATTAAAAAGTGCGCTAACTATAAGAGAAGCTACCTAGTATATAGTATAGAATATAACGTCCGGAAAAGGGCCTAGCTATAGGCCTTAGTAAAGTAATAGGCTACACCAGCTTAATATAATACTAATAGAAATATAAGCCTATATAAATACTAAGCACTACTAGAAGTATATAGCTAGTACTAGTAGTTAAAGCAGAGCTGCTTCTACCTTTTTAAGAAACTTTTTCTAAGTTTTTTAGCTTTTATTTATATTATACTATATAATAGTAAGGTTAGTAGGTTATTCTATTATTAATTAAGGTCTATAGCGGTGTTTTTAGTAGAGCAGGCCCTGCTAGTTTCCTTATATAGCTAGCAGTCTATATTTTTTTTCTAGAAAAATAGAACCTATATAATATTAGGCTGTATAAGCTATAAAAGCCCTTTAGCCCCTCTATATACTATTAACTAGGTGGCCTAGGTAGTAGGCTATAATTGCTATATAGGTTGCTCCGCAAAATAGATAAATTAACCCCTTAGATAGGTTAAATAACCTAAGGTAAAATAGGTAGGTTATTCTATAAAATAGATAGATTATACTAAATAGGAAGTCTACTATATTATATTAAACAGTTTCTGCTATTTTAGGTTATTATTAGTTTAGCTAATATTTTTTAGCAGCCTGCTAGAGCCCTTTCTAGCTACTTTTAAAGTTAGCTTTAGTTCTATACTACTATATAGTATAGGGCTATCTGCCTTCCCTTTTTTAGATTAGGACTAAGGTATTATTTAGGTTATATATAGTAAAAGTAGAAGTATATAATACTTTATATAAAATCCTACTACCTTTTTTATAGAAAAAGCCTAAATATAAAGATATATATATATATTAATAAAGCCCTAGAAATAAACTAATAGTTAGTTATATACTACTTACTAGACCTAATTACCCTATTTTTTTTAAAATATAGCAGAGGAAGAAATCTATATATATAATATCTATAACCTATACCCTAATAGTATTATAGTAAAAGGAATACTAAAATCGTAATTTAACCTATATTATTATATAGGCGTTCCTTTCCGTTTTATTCGAACTATAAGGCCTATATAAGAGTAAGAATTACGTTTATTACTAGTGCAGCGGCGTTGCGTTATAGCTAGAGGTCGTTTTTAGAAACGTTGTCCTTAACGCCGCTAGAATAGCAGAGTTTTTACGGGTTTTAGCGGCTTGCTACTACTAAACTTAATACCTATAGATAATAGAAAGATAAATAGAAGGTTGTTATCTATAACTATCCGATATTCTATTACCTAGAATACTAACCTAGGGCTACACCTAGTGCCTGTATTTACTGGCAAAGTAATAGGTTTTTATTCTAATAGGATAATAGAACACCTCTATACCGGCCACGTTGGAAGCCCTTATATCTATAACCTAATAATACCGGAACTAGAAGGACTAGGGAAGTAAGAGTAAAAATAGTGGCGGTTTAGTTAGTAGATAATAAGGGGTAATAGCTGCGCGGCGTTAAGTTATTATAGTAACCTTTTATTTGCAAGATACGGTCGGCCTATTATTATAAAAACGTTATAGGTAACGCGAAAAGGCTGCTAGTGCCCGGGCTGGCGGCTATAGGGCGTGGTATATAATAGCAGCAATAGTTAGCTCCAGGCCTTTACGGATGCCTGGTAGACTTATAATAGGCGCTAGTAGAATAGGAAGTATATAAAGTATATATATATTTTTCCTATTTTAGTCCTTTTATATACGGCTGTATAAGCTCCGGCTTATATAGTGCCTTTATATAGCAAGGATATAGTAGGGGGTATACGTGCATACTTTCTATTTTATACGGCTGCGCGGGCTAGGCCTATACAGCGCCTCTGCAGAACGGGAAGTATATATATTCTTTACGGCCTTCCTGTTTTACTAGCGGCCATCGTATAGGGAGGAGGATTAACACCTTACTAGTAATACTATTTATATAGCCCGAAAAAACGGATACGCGTGTCGGTTTATTAAAAGGCAGAGGTAAGCTATAAAATAGGCTTAAGAAGTAAATTAGGTATATACAGGCGGGAGATAGTTTAATCTAGGCCGGATACTATAGAAGCACTCTATATAGAAAACTATAGTAAGAAAGCTAGGTAGGTAGCTTTATATTTACAACTTGCTATATATTTAGCTAGCTAAATATAATATACCTGGACTGTAAAACCCGGACAGATTTAGGAAAACGCATTATAATAGCTTATTCTATAGTAGACTTAATAAATCTACTATATATCCTTAATAGCTATATAATAATAAAAAGAGCGCTTAGCGCTATATACCGCAGAAGACGGGGTTTTTATCTAAACGCTGTATAGTAGTAAACGGTTTTTCCTTATAAACTAGCCTAGATAGAATAGCTAT